AGCTTCCTCCGCCCTCTGGGCAGCCCTCCTAAGGCCCCTCCCCATTTCCCAGACCTCCAATCCCGGGACCCCCAACTCCTTCCAGCTCTCTCTTCCTGGCTTTACCTGTCATCCACCCGTCAATGCTTCTCCCATCTGGCCTCTCCCCAGAACTCCAGCGCCCCCCAGCCAGCCTGACAGCACTGGAAGGAGCCAAGAGGATCTCACACCCTACTCGCAGGGGTGTCCTCTCCGCCAGCACCAGCCGGGTAGAAACACAGTCAGACCTGCAGGATCCTTTACTCAGTTTCCCTTGCTAGTAACATCTTCCAGATCCCAACCAGCCTGGCGGCTGGGGACATGAATACAGAAGCACACTGACACCCCACCCACCCCACCCAAGCCTCCTTAAGTTCTCAGTCACTGGATACCTGCGTGCACAGGGTGCACCGGGGCTGCTAGGTTTGGTTTTGAAAGACATCACCAAAACGTTCTCGGGAGGCTGTGCCATCTCACCCTCCCCTGGGCAACCTGGCCCTGCTCTCTCGCTGGCACTGGTGCTCCCGGTGTCCACTGCTTCAGCCCTGGGGAGCATGGGTGACACCTCGCGAAGGCTGTTTCATTCCTTGTGCTTGCTGTCCATCTGCAGCCGTCCTGGGTGACACCTGTCCTCGCCTCTAGCTCATTTTCCATTTCGAATTGGATTGTTGTTGGTTCTACTGTTGAGTTTTCAAGGTTCTTTGTATGTTCTGGATACTACTCCTTTGTAGAATTTATGGTTTTCAACTATTTCTCTGTCCCTAGCTAGTATTTTCATCCTACAGAGTCCAGCACAGAGCAAACGTTATATATGGGGGTGGATCCAATTTCTCTTATGGGTCATACTTTTGATGTCCAATCTAAAAATTCTTTGTCTATATCACAAAGATTTTTATCATATTTACACATATAGTATAAACTATCAAGCATATCTATATATATTATAGGTTTATGTTTTACATTTAAGGCTATCTACAGTCTATACTTTGAGATAATCTTTATAGAAAATGTGAGATTAAGATTGGGGGTTTTATGGATTTTATGTTAAATCTTTGATGTTCGATTGCTCCACCGCCATTTGTTGAGAAAGACCATCTGTCCTCTTTGAATTGCTGGTGTATCTTTGTCAAAACTCAGCTGGACAATTTTTATGGGTCTCCATGGGTCCTCTACTGCACTGACTTACATATCCCCCACCTCCCACCCTAGCATGGTTTCAACTACTGCAGCTATAGAGTAAGTCTTGCAGTGAGGTAGACTCATGTTTCCACATTTTCTTTTTCAAATTTGTTTTAGCAAATCTAGTCCATTTTTTTGGGATTTTTTGAATATATACATATATATTTAAGATTTATTGATTTATTTATACAAGAATCCGGGGTATAGGCCAGATGCACGGGAAGGTGAGAGGATTCACCAGAGCCAGAGCAGGGAACAGAACAGGCAGACTGACGAAATACTCTGCTGAGGGGAGCAGCCGGCGCGACAGGAGAGGTCTGTCGCGCCATGTGGGAACCTCACTGGCCGGCTGGGATCGAACCGGGGCCGCAGAGGCTGTGGACTTCCATATACATTTTTGAATGATCTCTCTAGCCACAAAACATCTCACTTGGGATTTGCTAAACACTACATTAAGTGCGCATCTCTGGGAAGAACTGACATCTCAACTCCTTCATTTCTTCCAATCCACATCAGCCTCTTTCCTCCTTAATCTTTGATTTCTTAGATCAGTGTCTTCTTGTTTTCTGCATACACGTCTGGTCCATACTTTGCTAGATTTACATCTGAGTGTTTCTGGAGGGCTTGCACATGGCATTGGCGTTTAAAGGCTGCTGTCCATGTGTTCACTGGTAGTCTACACAAATAAAATCGATTTTTCTATCTTTATCTTGTATCTTTTGACCTTACTGAACTCCCTCATAGCTCTAGGAAGTTTGTTTTGGTAAATGCCTTGAGTGTCTCCATAGAAACAAAAATGCCACCTGCAACTAGAGATGGTTTCACCTCTTCCGTTCCCACCTGAAAGCCTTTTATTTCCTGTTCTCACTTGATCCCCCTGGCTAGACCCTCCGGCACTAAGTTGAATGGAAGCAGTAAGCGAGCACGGGCATCCTTGCCTGGACCCCACCTCGGGGGAAGCCCTCGGTCTCCCAGTATCATTATGAAGCCAGCTACAGGGTTCTGAGGCTACTGCGCAAACGGAGGCAGTTCCCCTCTAGACCTGTTTTCCTGTGAGTTTTGATCATAATAATGACTGTTTTTTTGAGATTCACATATCATACAATTTGCTTTGTAAAACTGTATAATTCAGAGGCTTTTAGTACATTCATAATGTCGTGCAACCGTCACCTTCCAAAGGAACCCTGTGCCAGGAGCCCCCAGTCATCCTCTGTGGCCTCCTTCACCTAGCACCTGGGCAGCCAGCACTCTGCCGTCTGCCTGTGTGGACCTGCTGATCGTAAACTGTCCTAGAAGCAAATTCTTGCACTTAGCATAATTTTCAAGGTGCATCCATGCTGAGGCATGTATCAGCATTTCATTCCCCTTTATGACTGCCATTTTATTTTCCAGAACATCACATTTTGCTTATTTGTCCTTCAACTGGCAAACGTTCATTGGTTCCTGTTTTTGGTTATGAACAATGCTTCTTTGAACATTCAAATACAACTGAATGTGTGTGTAAACACATTTTTAATTATCTTGGGCACACACCTAGGAGCGGAATTGCTGAGATTCACCCTATGTGTATGTTTCACTTTTTGAGGAACTGCCATACCGTTTTATGGTTGCTGCAGCATTTTCCATACTTTTGCCTGATTTTGGTATCATGAATGAGTTGTGACATATACCTCCTCTTCCACTTTTTGGAAGCATTTGAAAAACATTGGAGTTAAATTTTCTTTAAATGGTTAGTAGAATTCAAAGGTGACACTATCATTCCTTAGGCTCTTCATTGCAGGAATTTTTGGATTATTAATCCAGTCTCTTTGCTTATTCTAGGTCCATTCAAATTTTCTATTTTTTGTTGAGTTTGTTTTGGTGGCTGTGTCTTTCTAAGAATCTACCCACTCCATCTAGATTTCTGATTTGTTGACCTACGATTGGTCATAGGATTCCCAATTAATTCTTTTTTTTTCTGAAGATCAGAAGTAATGTCCCTTTCTTCATTCCTGATTTTAGAATTTGAGTCATTCTTTTGCTGTTGGTTAGTCTAGCTAAAAGTTTCTTGATTTAGTTGATCTTTTCAAAGAATCAACTTTTGGTTTTGTCGATCTTCACTATTATCTTTCCCTTTCCTTATCTTGTTTTATCTCTGCTTTAACATTTATTTTCTTACTTCTACTTGCTTTGAGTTTAGTTTATGCTTCTTCTAACTTCTTAAAGTAGAAGCTTTGGTTATTGATTCGATATCTTCCTTAATTTTAAATACAGCCTCTTAGAGCCATACAGTTCACTCTAAGCAATGCTTTTGCTACATCCCATACATTTGTGTGCATTGTGCTTCATTTCCTTAATCTCAAAGCATTTTCAAATTTTCCTTGTCATTTATTTTCTGACTTACTGGTTATTTCAGAGTCACCAAGAGCGTGTTGTTCAACTCCCATATATATGTGAATTTTCTAAATTTCCTTGTTATTGTTTTCTAACTTCATATCATTGTGTTGGGAGAACAGGCAGTGTAGTCCTCATTGAGGCTTTCTCTGTGGCCTAACAAGCAAGGTCATACTTGAGGAGACTGTGCTCTGTTGTCACTGGCGGGGTGACTGCCAGAGGTCAGCTACCTTCAAGACGGGGTCCCTGAAGGACTGGCCGGGGGTTCCTTCCCTCTCGGGTCCTGCCTGGCGTTGAACATTCGGGAGCAGCTCAGCAAGGTCAACCGGGAAAGACACCCAGCTCCACGCCAAAGTGTTCATCCCCTCTGGCCCGTGATCTCTCTTGCTGGCATCGCTCCTGGAGAACCTGACAGAGAAAGGGGCGGGAATTACACAGGAGTGCTGTGCCTAAGACTCCCACGCGGAAAACAGCGCCAAGATTATTTCCCAGGGCTTGGTGAGAAACGTGGTCCAGGAGTCAATGGACTATGAGGCAATAATTGAAAATCACGCTTCCGGAAAAATTTTAATGGGAAAATGCTCAAATTTCAGTGTAATATTCAGGCTCCAAATAGTCCACAGGGTGAACAATCAGTATTTAGCAGTAGAGTAAATCAGAAAGCAGCGACGGGCGGGAGCCTCAGGAAGGAGCCCGCCGGCCCCCCAGGCTGAGGGGCGTCACGCCGGCTCCCCGGACAAGGCGACCCCCGGCTCTAGAGCGCCGCGCCTCGAGGCCCGTCATCCCGCCACGTCGCGGGGACGCCCTCGCGCTTTCCTGGCCTTGGAGTGGGGCTCTCCCCTCCCTCAGCCCCGGCGGCGCCCCCGCGAGCCCGCCCGCCCGCCGCCCCGAGCCGCACCCCGCCTCGCGCGACCCCGCAGGCGCCCGGGCAGAGCGCGAGCGGCGCCCGCGGGAGTCAGAGCCGCGCCGCGCCGGGCGCTGATTGGCCGCCGCGGACGGACGCGCCGCGGCCCGGGGGCGGGGCGGAGCGCGCCACTTCCGGGGCGGGGCCCGGCGCCGCGCGCGGAGCGGCGGTCTCCATGGCAACCCGCGCGGCCCGCGCGAGGCCCGTCCGCCGCCGTCGCCGCCGCCGCGCCGGCCCCGCCCGCCCCCCGGCCGCGCCGCGCCCCGCCCTCCGCCGCGCCCCCGGCCCGGCCCGCCCGCCGCCCGCCGCCCCGGCCTGACGCCGGGCAGCCGCTCCGGCCGGGCCCGCCGCCGCGACCCTCCGCCCGCCCGCCCGCCCGCCGGCCGCCTCGGCGCGGAGCCGCGGAGCCGCGAGCAGGTACCCGCCGCCGGGCGCCGCCTTTGTCCCGGGGCGCCGCGCCCTCCGGGCCCGGGGTGGGGGCGCCCCGATCGCGGCCCGCCCCGCCCCGCCCGGCCCCCGCGCCGGCATGGTCCAGCCCCAGAGCGCGCGCGCCGGCGCCCCCGGCGCCCCCGGCGCCGCCCCCGCGCCCGGCGCCCCGGCGGACGACGCGGCGGACACCCTGACCGCGCTGCGCCTCACCAACTCCGCGCTGCGGCGCGAGGCCTCCTCGCTGCGCGCCGAGAGGGCCAGCCTCACCAGCATGCTGGACAGCGTGATGGCCGAGCTCGCGCTGCTGCGCACCCGCGCGCGCATCCCCGGCGCGCTGCAGATCACGCCGCCCGTGTCCGCCATGGCCGCCGGCGGCGCGCGGCCGCCCACCACGCCGCCCACCTCGCTGCCCGAGCCCTTCGCGGGGACCCGGGCCAGCTGGCCGGCTTCCTCATGCAGATGGACCGCTTCATGATCTTCCAGGCCTCGCGCTTCCCGGGCGAGGCCGAGCGCGTGGCCTTCCTGGTGTCGCGCCTGACCGGGGAGGCCGAGCAGTGGGCGATCCCCCACATGCAGCCCGACAGCCCGCTGCGGAACAACTACCAGGGCTTCCTGGCCGAGCTGCGCCGGACCTACAAGTCCCCGCTGCGCCACGCGCGGCGCGCCCAGATCCGCAAGACGGCGGCCTCCACGCGCGCCGTGCGCGAGCGCCAGGGGCGGTGCCGCCAGCTGGCGGCCGCGGGCGCGGGGCCCTGCCCGGTGCACCCCGCCTCCCACGGGCCCGGCCCGGCGCCGGCCCTGCCCACCCGCGCTCGGAACCTGTAGGCGCCACCCAGGTCGCGCCCCCCTGGCTGCGCGCACGTGCGGGGTCCCCTCCCGCCGCTCCAGCCTGCCCCACCGCCAGCGCCCTCGCCACTTTGGGCGCCCCGTCACCCACCTTGCTTCATAGTACAGTGTGCCAGCTTTGCACCCACAGCTCCCTGCATGCTTCCTCTCGCTCGCTTGCGGCCCCAGCTCTGCCAGTGACCACAGCTCTGCGCCACCATCACAGCCGCTCGCCAGCACTCTGCCCGCCGGTGCCCTGGCCTCCCCGCCTGACAGCTTTGCAGAAGCTCCCACTCCATCCTCCGCGGCAGCCCCCCACCTCCTGGCCCCGTCCTCACCTGTGACCTCACTGATGGCAGAGAAGACTCTTTGGCCAGGCTGGTGGCTTTTATGGACACCTGGGGGTGGCGGAGCCTGACTTCCGGGCCTAAGGTGGTGACTGGCCATGCCAGAGCCCCGTGGGGCAGGCAGGGGCCCTCTCAGCACCAGGGCACCACCCCTAGGAGTGGAGTCCAGCACAGCCGGGGGCAAACTTCACGTGGATTCGCAGTGCTCTGCCCGTGTGCTGCTGGGAATGGCCGACATTGCAGCCGGATGGAGGGGCCCCCCGAGGCCGCGCCTCCTCCCAAGCCTGGCATTGGCTGCCAGTCCTCTGCTCCGGAAACTGGGGAGCCGACCTCACCTACTAGGAAGGTTGTTGTGACTTTGGACCCTGGGCAGTCCGCAGCTGTACGTCTGGGCCTGAGGCCCACAGGCACCGACATGGGGCTCACCATGCCCCGGATCCCCAGCGGGAACCACCCTGGCTGCCAGCGTGCCCTCACCGCCCTCTCTCCCCGCGGCACTGGCTGCCTCGAGACATTCCTTCTCTGCCCTGACGCTGTGTGGCCTCCACCTCACCCATCATCTCACACAGCCTCCCTGGGTGTCGCAGCCCCCATGCACGGAGGGCCTTCAACGGGCAGCTCTCGTCCGAGAAAACACGGAGCCCAGCTGGAGCGCCCGCTGCACAGCGCCAAGGGCCGGCAAGTCTGCCTCTGAGGCCCGGCCAGGGCTTCGGTGGCCGGGTGTGGGGCAGACCGCGGTGGGCCCAGCCTGGCGTGACGGAGCAGGGCCGGCTCGGGGTCGGGTGCTGTCCGCCTGCGCTTCCTCACCAGCGGTGACTGGACATCGCTTTCACCGAGGCCTTCCGACCGATGACCCCACCGTGTTCCGACACCAGCTGAGCTGCACGCCGCGCCCCCGGCCAGGGCCGGGGGGCACCGGTCACCCTGCTTTACCTGCCCGGTGCCGAGCCCTCCTGGCCTGACTGCCGGCCCGGCCTCCGCACCGGCCCAGGGCCCCAGGCCCCCAGTGTGCGCCCCATGAGTAACACTTTCTTCTTAAGAGTTTAGATGCTGCTGGGAAGTGGCCTCTTCCCGAAGCCCCGCTCCCTTGCCGGGTCAAGGCCGCGCGGTGGTTGCGGGCTTCGCGGGCCACTGCCGCCCGCTCGTTTAAGCTCTGTTAGCCCAGTCACCCCGCAACTACAGCCTGTGCGCAGGCTTCCGGTCCCCTGGATCCCAGCCACGGCTGTTCGGGGGGACCGTGGTGCTCACGAACCTGAGTCCGCGGAGGACACACGAGTGGAGCCTCCGGTCTGGGGGGCCTCTGGTTGGGGTGCAGACCACTGTGAGCTCGTTTTCTTCTGTCTCCAGCAGCTGTGTGCGAGGTGTGTGTGTCAGGCAGAGGTGCCCCCCGGGAGGGGTGCCTGGCTCAAGGGGAACGGGGACTCACAGACACCACGAGGGTTTCCAGGCCCACCAGGGACTGGGTCCAGCCCGGGCAGGGACTGCGCCTTCTTTCCAACCTGAGGGGCCACCTCGGTGGATTTTGGGGTGTGCCTCCAGGTCTGCATGTGGCCCTGTACCTGGGCTGTGCAGACACTGAGGCCAGAGCCCCCGTCCGGTCGGCTCAGCACTGCTGGACTTGGAGGTGTCGTCTCGGCACTCACCTGGTGGGCTGGCGCTTTGGAAACGAGCAGGTGAGAGGCCTTGGGGGTGGCCCCCCACTGGACTCTCAAGAGGGAGGTCACCAGGCTGGGGGTTGGGCTGAAGAGGGAGGGGCAGCTGCCTCTCCATCCTCCGGGGCTGTGGTTTCTGGAACTCTCGGAGCAGGTACCAGTGTGTGAGGGACAGCTGGCGAGCAGCGCTTCACAGTGCATGTCGGGGGCTTTGTTTTTTTGGGGGGTGCCTTGGTCTGGACTGTGTTGTGACTGCCTTGTCTCCTGGCGAGTCAGTGTCCGGCGGCACGCATCATTTGATGCGCCCCCAGGCCGACTTCCGGACCCCGATAGCGCGGCCAGGACACTGACTGGGCATCGAAAGCATTTCCATTTCCATGTCTCTTCCTGGAAAAAAGCGAAGGCCCATCGTGGGGGTCCCGAGCAAGCCCATGACGAGGAGGATGGCCGCCCGCCCCGCGGGGTGCAGGCCGGACTTTCCTGGGACCCAGTGGGGTGGAAGTGCCCGTCGGGCGGCCCTATCCTGCCCCGCCGCGGGAGAGGGATCGCCCGGGGGAGGGGGCACAGCCATGGAGGAACTAGGGGAGAGGCCCGCAAGGCAGGGACGGTGGGCGCTGCGGGGGGAGAGCGGCGAGGGCCTTGCTTGGCCCCTGCAAGAAGACCCAGGCCGGCTCCCGTGAGGGGAGGCGCCCAGAGCGTCGGGCCACGGGCAGACACTTGCCACTCGGGAGGAGAACGGCGGGGGGGGGGGTGTTCCGTGCCCCTCCACGAGCTGGGGGCTGACATGTCCCTGTGTTTGAGGGGGGTGGTGGCTGGCTTGGCGCGGGGCGGGGCCGGGAGGACAGGAGGGGGCAGCCCCGACTGCCCTCGCTGTCATGAGCCCGCCCCGTAGGCCGCGGCCCAGGTCTTCATTATCACGGCAAAGCTACGCAGTAGAGAAGTTCTGCAGTTCAGCGAGAGAAAAAGTGAAATTTCACATTTTGGTGTCTTCCAGACCCCTCCAGCGCTCCCGCCCGCCCCGCCAGGGGCTCTTTGCTTTGACTCCGTCGTGGAGCCGTTTTCACTGCTCTGGTGGACATGCCGTGTCTTCGCCCACTCTATTTCGAGATGACTGCACCCCCCTCCCGCCCCCAGCAGGCAGCCGGGCCAGGGCGCCCGCCCCCACCACGCACTCCCCTTCACGGGGGGGCACGTCTTCAGGGCCAAGCTGTCCCCGGGGAAGGCATTTCTTGGGGTGGCGTCCCAGAGGTGGGCCGTTGAAGGCGAGAACACGAAGACCTTCGTGTGTCGGATCCACAGCACTGACGATGCTTCCAGACCCGCGGGGCCGCGGCTGCTGCCGGGGGGCGGCCATACCTACCTTCCCCCTTGCCCGCGCCGAGTGTTTCCACTGGGCTGAGTATTCGCTGATCTGATAATGAAAAAATAGAAGTTTTAGTTTGCCTTCCTTTGATCTCTAGCGGGGGTAGACGCCCCACGTCAAGCAGCTGTATTTCCTCCTGGTGGTTTGTCGATTCTGATTCGTTTTTATGAGCTCGTCTGTATTAAAGATATTACCCTGTTGTGTGTTGTACCTGCTGCGTGTGCTCCGGCTGGTGTCTTCCTGAGGTGTGGCTCGCGTAGCCGAGCGCCTCCTGTGGGCCCGTGCCCATGAGCCAGGCCCCTGCCCTGCCCCTGTTGTTCGAGGCCGTTCTTGCACTTGTACACAACGCGACAGTCCAGCTCGTAGAGGCTCTGCCTTCTGGGACAGCTGAGGGAGGAAAGTGGCATCGCTTTACATTTCTGCAAATGTCTTCCCTGTGTCCTTAAGGCAGCCGGGGCCCGGGCCTGCGTCCGCACTCAGCTGGCCAGCTCCACGCCATGGCGCCCGGGAAATGTCACTGTCCAGGGCAGGAGGGCACAGGGTGTCCAGTCTGGCTTCCCAGCTGGCACGGGCTCGGGTCTAAGCTGAGGAGGCGGCTGCGCCGGGCCTCCACCCGGGCCCTCGTGGCCTCCCACCTAAGCCCCTCCCTCCAGATCGAAGGTGTTCCTGGGCTTTAGCATGTAGCATAAAGTGAGGCTCTAAACTGACTTCCCCCCAAACACTCAAGTATCCCGGGCCGCGCGCAGAATTTCTCAGCTCCGATGGGCGGGCCCTCCGTCGCAGGGAGTCAGCCCCCGCCGGCCCCTTCATCTCCCCAGCACCTCCTTTTAGTTGTATAATTGTTATATAATTCGTATTCATACCCCGTGGGGTCCCACCCCCTCAGATTTACTTAGCTGTTCTCACCAGTGAGCTTCCAAAACACCCTGAGGTCCCCCCATCCCCACCCCCGGCCCCGTAACAAATGCAGATGCTCTGGCGGGATGTGAGCAGGGTGGGGCCCTGCAGGATGGGGTGGCCCTTGCTGCCAGCACCAGGCCTGTCCCTGGGGTGCTCCTATATGCCTGGTGCTTGGCTCAGCAGCGGGGGTTGAAGTCTGCCCCAGCTGGCTGGCCTGTTGCCTCCTCTGTCTTCTGATTTGGAGAATTCTCCAGGCTGGTCCTCAGAGCCCCTGGCCACCCACTCTGCCTGGCAGGGAGCATGGAGTGTGGCCGGCTTCGGGCTAGAGACAATCCTGGCTTGGAATGGCCTCCACCTTCAGTGCTGTGCGCCCAGCCTGGTGCTGCTCCATCCCAGGGGTCCCTGCTCCAGGGCCGGTGCCCCACCCAGGCACCTGGTGCTGCCCCTGCCCAAGTCGTCGCCCCACGGCGGCTCCATTACCGAGGCATCTGGAAACTTCTCTTGAACTCGCCAGTCCTGTCCTCTTCCGTCTTCCTGCTGCCCTTCTTCCTTCTCTTACTTAAGGGGGGGTCAGGGGGTGGCTGGCCATCTCTGTGGTGTCCCACACCCTCTGCATCCCGGCCTCACACTCACTCGGAGTCGCCACCGCCCTCGTTTCTGGGATGGTGCCGGTCGCCCTCACCAGACCCAGCTCTTGGGGGGCTTCGTGGCATGCCCGGGCTGAGGCTCTGCCCGCGC